TTCCTCTAGTTATTAATATTTTAGAGGGACAGGGGGCAGAAGGTGGGGCATAAAAAAAAAAGTTGGAAAAAAGAAGGTTACATTAGCAGATCCAGTACTATTGTTAGCCTCTCTCAATGGATTTATGTTGCTTCTAGGGAGTTAACATTGTTCTCTTCTGCTTTCCGGCGAGCTGTAACTCACTGGAACTTTGTAACTCACTGGAACTTTGATGCAGAGAGCCAGTGTGTTATTCTAGAACTGTAGCACAGACAGTGAATATAGCCTTGACATCGGCAAATAGCGTTGACTTTTGGGCAAAATTTTATTCTGCCTACTTTGAAGATTATAAAAGCCTTTTCCTTGACATTGTAGAGTTAGAGCATAGCAGTCAGGTAGTCACTAAACAATACTGCTTTGGGTAACTGACTCGCAGGCCCCCTCTCTTTATCCTGGGTACCTGGAAGGATGCTTTGTTAATGTCCTTTTAGATTCAAAGCCATAGGGTAAATGATCTTTGTTGAGCTACTGCTGTTTTGTACCTTTGAGGTGTTTTATAAAGATTATGTTATTCCACCCTGTAACCCTTCTATGAGAAAAGTATTATTTTCCCCAAACTTCATAGGTAAGAAATTAAAGGTCAGAGAGGAAAATAAGATCACACAGCTGTTCAATTGCCAGGGAAGTTTTATTAGAATTTAGAGTGTCACCTGGTGGGTTGACTTGAGGCTTTTACCACCCACAAGGCAACTCCAGAATTTTCTATAAACTTCTTTATCTTAAAAACAACAACAAAAACTATAAGCAGTGGTGTTCCTTTCTTACATGGCTCAGATAATTAGAATTTTCTATAGCTATACAAAATCCATGAGTTTTTTGGAATCGGGTGCTCATTTTCAATCTTCTGATATAATTTCTACATTTATTTTTAAATATGGAAGATGTTTGGAATGCATGATGCTGAAGATTTAGTGTCTCTAGAGTGAGAACAGGTGGCATTTTTATTTCTTTGTGTGTTTTGCTGTTGTTTTCACTGGGGTTATGTATATATGACTTTTTCATTTCATTAAATATTCAGAGATGAAGCTCAAAAACTTAGTTTACTCACAGCACAATGCCTTGTAACAAATGCTGGGCCACTCCTAAGGTTTGGGATTTTAGGGTACAGTTCTGTATATATGCTTTTTCTGTATTAACTTCACATGAAAATTTTTCAAATGCTGTTTTAATTTTACATAAGTAAAACTGGCCTTTGGTGTACTTTGAAAGCATAGTATCTGAAGGAAAGCCTGGACACTAAGCATAGTACTGTCTAATCCTCATGTCTTTGTTTATTACACCTTCCATTGAGTTGGTTTGCCTAAAGGACAGACTGCAGTAATTTATTTAATATGGAAACTAGCAATCCAGAATCTTCTTCATGCCTAATGTTTAGCAAGATTAAATTATTATATATTACAGAAATGATTCTGAATCAGGAAAAAAAATTACCATTTATATTCATGGTAGCAGAGAAAAATTGCAAGGTTTTCAAAATAGAAAGGTAATTACATATTATTTGGACTAGTAGTATACATTTTAGCAAGACCAACAGATTAAGATTTATGAAAAGAATCCAGTTAATCAGTGTGGGTGTTCCCATCATTTTATGTCTGTTTGACCTCTAGAGGTTTTTTTGGTTGGTTGGTTGGTTTTTTAAGCTAAATTGAGTTGGCAGGGGCTGACTGGGACAAAACTGATGGTTGCCTATTTGAGTGGCTTTGGGATATTTATGTCTGTAGTTTGCATTTGGGGACATCATTTCCCTACTTTAATGTCCTTTCTTTAGAGCCTATTTTCTGCATAGGCTTCCTGAAGAAATGCTAACCGGAGAGTAAGTAGAAATTTAGAGAGGATTAACTAACACTTTGAAGTTTATAAGTATTCATAATAATAAGTTGCTTAAAAGTAGATGGCAAAGCTTTGGGGGATTTGAAGGCACATATCCATATTTTATCAGGACTTTCTTAATTGTAGTAGATCCTTGGTTCTCTCAAATTGAACACGGAATTTCACTTATTGGCAGGAGAGGTCATGATGTGTAGTAATTTATCACTTTGTTGAGGAATGTATTTGAATCACATCTCTATTGTAGCTAATATGTATGAGCCCAACCCAGAATCTGGATTCATACCTCATCACTTTGTGTTTCTTACTTAAAATGTCTTCCACTCTGTGTTATAGCCATAGCTGATGTCAATTTGACAGAGTGGAAAAATTTGGAAGACATACTCTGTATGATTTGTGTAAATCAGATCTTGTGGAAATCTAATTTTCGTGAAGATCTTTATATACCTAAGAATACTGAGCAGCTTTCCAGTAGTTTTTGTGTGTAGAATCTTGTATAGTTTCTTAGAAGTTTATAAGTAAAAGAATGTAGATTATAGGCTCTAAGGAAGTTTATACCCTAGTTGGGCATTTCATGAGTTACTAAAAAGTTCATATAAATTACAGTTATAACTACATATAAATCACAGTCATAATTACATAATTATGCATTGGTAAATGATCCACTTTATGGATTTTTCAATGCATCAGTGCTTAGAAGTAAAATAAGACACCATTATAACATTATCATTAAGTTAAGGTTTATCATGGAGGACTTCCTGGAGGAAGTGAACTTTGAAACAAACCCATCTATATCACCTTATTGGAAGGTATTCCCATACTCACAATGAGGTCTTATGCAAAGGACAGCCTTAGTGGTAGATGAACAGTAAACTCAGTCACCCTCAGGTGTGATTTCATGACAAGGATAGTCTCTCAGTACAAGTAACTAAAGTTCTTATTGTTTGGACAGTTCTTTACCTCACAGCCTTGCCCTCTGTTAAGAGAAGCACTGATTCAAGTACTTATTTTTGAAGGTGTGTGGTTTTTGATCCTTTATTTAAAAAGATACAATTAGTTTGGGTTCTGGGGATTGCCTGATACAATGTGACAACTTTACATTTTCAGAGACATGGTTAGAGTGAAGAGATATTAACAAGGATCCGAGATAGGAGGAAGGGGACCTCTAAGAACTTCTTTGTGGCCTCAGTATTCCAAGTTATTTGGAGGACACTGTATTTTAAGCTCAGGACATGAAAACTGGAAGTAGGTCAAAGGTTTTTATTTTTAAAGATATGATATATACCTACAATGGAATATTATTCATTCTTTAAAAAGAAGGAAATCCCACCATTTGCATCCACATGGATGAACCTGGAGGACATGATGCCAAGTGAAATTAGCCAGACACAGAAAGATAAATACTGCACAATTCACTTATATGTAGAATCTTTTTTTTTATTTCTTTGACAGACAGATCACGAGTAGGCAGAGAGGCAGGCAGAGAGGCAGGCAGAGAGAGAGGAGGAGGCAGGCTCCCTGCTGAGCAGAGAGCCCGATGTGGGACTCGATCCCAGGACCCTGAGATCATGACCTGAGCTGAAGAAAGAGGCTTTAACCACTGAGCCACCCAGGCGCCCCACTTATATGTAGAATCTTAAACAGATTCATCAAAGCAGAGGGTAGAACAGTGTTTTGCCAGTTGGAGGGAAAGGAGGAAATGGAGAGATGTTGGTCAAAACACATTCAGTTTCAGTTATGCTTGGGTAAGTTGTGGGAATCTAATATGCATCATAGCAACTAAGTTTACAATACTGTGCTATGGACTGGGAATTCACTAAGAGGGTTGATCTTAGGCATTCTCAGCACAAAAACATTAAAAAGAAACAATGAAAGAAAGTGGTAACTAGGCAACGTGATGGATATGTTAATAACTTGAGAGCAAAGATCATTTCACAGTATATTTGTTTATCAAAACATCAAGTTGCACACCCTAAATGCACAATTTCTGTTTCAGTTATAAATAACAGTGAGAAATTTTTTAAAAAAGGATTAAAATGCTATCATGTCTATTTTCATACCATAATGAAAAAGCCAAAGTGATTTTGGGTTTGGTTTTTTCAGCTTGCTGACCTCTAGATTCTAGGAAGAAGAATCTTGCAGAGAGACTGTTCTAAGTACCAGAGCAGCCAATTTCAGTGCAGTAAGTGTAAGGAACCAGCATAGGAGGAGAGTTTTAAAAATGCAGATGCCAGAACACGATGCCCAGAGGGCATATTTAAATTTTGGAGGAGAGTCATGTATTTTGTTAAAGCACCCATGTTTACTTTGACATGATGCCACCATTGAGAAACCCTCTGGAATTGTCCGAGGGGTGGGCTGTATTAAAAAATCAAGACTGGGGGTGCCTAGGTGGCTCAGTCATTAAGCATCTGCCTTTGGCTAGCTCAGGTCATGATCCCGGAGGTCCTGGGATCGAGCCCTGCATAGGGTTCCCTGCTCAGCGGGAAGCCTGCTTCTCCCTCTCTCACTCCCTCTGCTTCTGTTCCCTCTCTCGCTTTCTGTCTCTGTCAAATAAACAAATAGAATCTTCAAAAAAAAAAAAAAAAACATAAAAAAAAATATCAAGCCCGTATGGCATGCTTGTGAGGTTTATCAGGTTTGATAGCGGAAATTAAGTCATGATGTGAAGATGCAAATGCTAGCATTAGTCAAGCAATGCTGGGCAATAGTGATGTTCTGGAATATTTCACTCCCACTCAGTTTCCACTATAACCTGCTAGGTTAAGTTTATTGTTAAAAACAATAACACCTCTCTGAAGAAGGAATGTAGGTCATAAAGTGTTAGCCTTTGGCCAGAATGGCTTTGTTCCCTTTCTTATATATGTTTAATTATAATCTAAAAAGGAAACAAAACTTCATCAGCTTAATTGTTTGTGTTTGTCTTAAGGAATTAGGGTCCATAAACAAGACAACTTTACCCATATTTGCTGGTAGGGGTAAAGAATTGCTTGACTATTATTAAGGGCAATTTCTCGACGTCCCTTCTCATGTACCCTGAGCAGAGAAGCTGCAATCATTATAGACAATGATTGTGCTGTTTGATGTTAGATCAGGCTCACCAACATTGATTCTTTCTTTTTTCCTCCCCTCAGATGTACATCCAGACAACGACACTTACTGTCTCCATGAGTTTAAGTGCTTCGGTGTCTCTGGGCATGCTGTACATGCCCAAGGTTTATATTATAATTTTTCATCCAGAGCAGAATGTTCAAAAACGCAAGAGGAGCTTCAAGGCCGTGGTGACAGCTGCCACCATGCAAAGCAAACTGATCCAAAAAGGAAATGACAGACCAAATGGAGAGGTGAAAAACGAACTCTGTGAGAGTCTTGAAACCAACAGTAAGTCATCTGTAGACTTTCCAATGGCCAAGAGCGGGAGCACTTCCTAATAGATGTACGTTGAACATTCTTCTTCTAGTCTCGGGGACTCTGCTGCATGGTTCCAGGGGCATGGTGCTACTTACTCGCACACCATGAGACTGTCACGGCACCTAGAACCATTTGGTTAGAACCAAATGATTTCAAGGCGAGTGGCTCTTATCCAGAGCGTGACCATGCACACAAAATCTCTTTTACAAATATGACTCTTGTGGCTCCCCTTTGAGGCATTACCAAGCATCTGAAGCTTTTAACTATCTTCTATGTATTTTTTCTTTTAGCACTTAGGAACTACTCTCCAATCTTTGTTAGTTCAATATTGGTGGTTCTTTATTGGTTTATTGGTTGCTCAAAGACCTTACACAAATAAATGATATGGTATTTAGGGAAATGAGAAAACGAATGGGCCAACATGTTGGGTTAAATCATAGTTAATATTTATTTCCCCCAAGTTGACCCTTTTGGATATATTAAAATAGAGCTCTTCTCTGAAAGCCTCATGACCCTGAAAATAGGGTCCTTCCTGTCAGCCACTACTCCACTTGTCCCCTCCTGACCTTCCTTCTTCTTCTCTGTAGTCACCCCTGAAGGAACACATGATAACAACACACCAGCACCAAATTAATCCAGTAGAGTTTAACTGGTCCATTTTGGTATCTATGGAAGAGTAGCAAATAGGCTGAAGATTTTTATTGTAAAATACCAGGTAGCTGAGTACGGTAAAAACAAAACACTACAATTTTTACATTAGTAGTTTCCGTAGATGGATCAAAAAGATATGAAAGCTAAGATTCCTGCATTAGACCTCAGGCTTCCTGTTTTTTGGAAATATAACATACCTATTTAATAATTAAGGATAAAACTATATGCAAAAATACACTCTTCCTCTCAGATTCCTCCAACGGGATGTGTTCCCTATTCTCTGTACGTCTGACATGAAATACAGGGAAGATTAAGTGTAGATTTTATCTAATATAATTATTATAACATAAACCTTTCCTTACATCAAGATTTCCAGATGAACATTGTCTATTCTAATGCCCCATATGCAGAAATGGCTTAAAAGATAAGTATTGATCAGTTAAGTTTATTGGCTACAATTACTATCAGACTTCTTGGAATTATTGGTCAGATTTTTCTAGCAAGATGGCCTTCAGCTCACTAATAACCAAATTTAGTCATTTGTACATAAAGAAGCCTTTTAAGAATTCCAAAAACACTCCCCATGTATTCACCTTTCTACAAACATGAAACCTTGAAAAACTGCAAGAGAAATCATGATAAAGACAGGTTTTGATAACAAATCATTATAATCATCTCTGATTATAGGTAAGCAATTTAGTAATAATGGGCCTATTTGGTCTTTTTGTAAAAGATGCACTATAATTACTATCAAAGGTGTCAGAGTTCAATGCGTGTGATGTGAAGGCAGAATTTTATCTGTGTTTTCCTACCTTGAAAACGTCAGTGCCCACAGTTAAAACCTGTCCTAGGATGCCGGGAAATTGCTGTTGGCCAGCTGTCGGCGTTTCTTGCTACGAATCACCAGAGCCTATAGCTGGACTTGGTTTTTAGCAACCATCTAAAAACCTTCAGGTAATATGGTTGCAAATGGGAACAACCAAACAGACATTGAAATAAATACCAGTCACCCCAGACTCACTTCTGGCAAGTGGTGGGGGGAAAAAATTAATAAATTTTCCCACCCTTTTATTTTTATTTTATTTTTTTTAAAGATTTTATTTATTTATTTGACAGACAGAGATCACAAGTAGGCAGAGAGGCAGGCAGAGAGAGAGGGAGGAAGCAGGCTCCCTGCCGAGCAGAGAGCCCGATGCGGGGCTCAATCTCAGGACCCTGAGACCATGACCTGAGCTGAAGGCAGAGGCTTTAACCCACTGAGCCACCCAGATGCCCCTTTTCCCACCCTTTTAAAAAATACATAGGTTCCCTGAAGAGGAATATTCCCGGCACTGATAAAGACTAATCCCATATTTAACAGAAGTAAGTCTCTTGTGTTTCGTTTTCCTTCTGTTATTTTCTGTTGACACTGAAGTGGAAATTATACAGCAAGCATGCATTTCCCTATCTTCTCTGAAATAAGAATGAGAGAGCATAAATGTGGGGCCTGTGTAGAAGGTTAGCCTGTAATATGCTGTAGGAGTCAGGTGCTTTTTCTGGAAGGTAAAAGAAAGTTCAAAAAGTGAATCAAGATAAAAGTCAGTTACTACCTGAAAGATGGTTAAATTGTACTTTGGCAACTCTGGTATATTCATCTTTTACGTAGTTTGATTTTAATAAATTGGGTCCAGATGAAGTGACACATTCAGGAGAGACAGCGCATGGAATCTTCACACATCCTCCCACAATCCCACTGTGGGAACCACTGTTGATCTTTGTTCCCTTCTATCACCAGCTGTCATGGCCTACATGTGTCCCTGTTACCTCAATGACACATAACAGTGGTTTTGAGGCAAGAGTCTTCTAAAATCACACTCCCTACAAGTGTCAATAACCCTAATAACTGAAATGCAATCTTTTTCTTCTAAAAGTGTGTCTGATGTCTTCAGAAGTAGATCTGAATATTGGGAAAGACTTTTCCTCCAGCTGTACCTAGAACTGTGCCTCCTCAGATTTTTTTCCTCAAGCAAGGGTAGAGGCAGAGGGAGAGGGAGAGAGAATCCTCAAGCAGACTCTGTGCTGAGCATGATGTGGGGCTCAATCCCAGGACCCCAAGATCATGACTCCAGCATAAATCAGGAGACTACTGCTCAACAGAGTGAGCCACCCAGGCACCCCATGCCTCTTCAGATTTAAAATGCCTCCTCGGTGAGGCTCCTTGGTGGCTCAGTCGTTAAGCTCTGCCTTCAGCTCAGGTCATGATCCCAGGGTCCTGGGATTGAGCCCTGCGTCAGGATCCCTGCTCAGTGGGAAGCCTGCTTCTCCCTCACCCACTTCCCCTGCTTGTGTTCCCTCTCTTGCTGTGTCTCTCTCTGTCAAATAAGTAAATAAAATCTTAAAAAAAAAAAAAAAAGCCTGCTGTGGGCATGCATAGAGTCTGTTCTCAGTAAATCGAGGGCTGGTTAGCCCACTGGAACAGTGTCCATGTTGCTGCATTCTCATACCTCCTGCTGTGAGACTTGTGACAAGTCACCATTATAGTGACATGGGTGAAAGTGTTTTATAAACTACAAGTCACCATATAAATAAGGTAGAAGTGTCATTATGCCTTGAAAATGTAGATTGCTCTATTATTAATAGAAAAGACTTAAAATTCAAAAACTGTTTTAGCATTCCTCTTTCTTCTTCTTTTTTAATATGTGAAGGATTTGAGTAATTACAGCTGCTACTCCATTGCTGGGATTTTTTTTTTTTTTTTTTTTTTTTTTTCAATTAGCCATGTGTTTTTGATGTACATGCGATGCTTTTCCTTCTTGGCCATGGAGCTCTCTAGGTCCATTTCACTTAGAAACTTTCATCTTAAAGATTACTTGCTAATGCCAGAAATTCTGGCCACATATTTAAGGTTTTAAAGCTTCAAAATCTCCGCAGAATAAATACAGATAATGTGAAGCTGGAAGGGAGACCAGTGAGTCCATGTTAATTACTGAATTTGCAGAGTACTACATTTCACATAAAAAAAGGTCAAGTGTTGTTTCATAAAAGTGTGTGGAAAGGGAGTTAGAAACAAAGTTGATGTGCATGAATTTATCAACTGTACCCAATTAACAAATGCTGTAACATGGTATTCCTTAAGCAGTGTTCATGAATCATTCATGAAAACAGCTGCTGCTGGGGGTGGAAATGCTTTCTCTTGCTTATGAACACAGTGTGGTGTCCACAAGGCAATTCACTATTGCTGTATTCCAAAACGGATTGTCACCTAAGTATATTCATCGCCGCTGTAAAAACTCCCTAGTAGCTCACACGTACATCTCTGATCTATTTCGCTCTGTAATAACGTCCAGGATAAAGATTCTCACAAGACTTCTGCCTTTCACGGTTTGTCCCTCATCCCCGTTTTCCCGTTGACTAAATCATCTCTGTCCATAGCCTTGCATCCCTTTTTCTAACCATTAGAAAAATTAAGATGACTTTCCTTTTGTAAATTATAGCCAGAGTTCCCAGTAGAATTCTACCATCTTTTTCCCTGGGGATAACTTTGAGGCGTTCAAAAATGAAGTATGAATCTTTAATTGGCTATAGAGTCTTAAAGTTGGAACGATCCTTGAATGGTCTGATCCAAATCACCTTCTGTTAAATTAACGTCTTCTGAATATCATCTTCTTCAAGGTCTTTTTGGCTCTAGTTCCTCTATTTGTACCATAAATTTTCTTTCAAGCTATCTACAAACTTGATAAATATTTCCTACATGTTGAGCCACTATTGAAGATACTGAATAGAGCAGGACAGTGAACCATCATTTTAAGGGTCGTTCTTCTAACTCTTAGGACCATTTTTCTTCATCTTTCTTTAAAGACTATATGAAAGTCTTTCGAAAAATTAGTTGAAGTACAGAGTTTCTTTTCTTACAGGGAATTTAGAAGTATACGAGAGCATTATATGTTTAGAAATTGTTAAAAACTTTAAAAAAAAGTATACAAAGCGTAAAAATCATTGTGTTTCACTTCACACCAAACTGAACATCACAGATGTTTAGCTTTATGGAAGGGGTGAATAGGAAAATAGGATTCCATATTTGTTATGCCAGATACAGCTGCTCCCCCACAGACCTACGCCACCTCCATTCTCACAAAACCCCAATGTTGTGGATTTGGGACCAGAGATGAAACTGAGGCCCAGTGACTTGGTTCACAGATCTTTTTTTAAACTCATTTTGTAGGGAAAAGAATGTAGTTCGAAACCAGGTCTAAAACCTACTTCCTTTCCGTGTGCCACAGTAATAACCCTTCTAGAAGTGTGAACAATGGAGATAAGAGAAGCAGATATGTCAGCTATTTTTGGCATGAGGCTCATAATATTCAATGAAATCAAAAAATAGTAAAAACATGCTTGATTAGCACTTCCTTAGCCTCGCTGCATTTATTTTTGTGATTGTGAACTTTATGTGATCTCAGCCTCAGGTAAGAACTTGTTCCATCAATTATGATGTTGACGTGAACTAAAATGGAATGAGTCTGATTGCCAGTCCTATGCCTCCAGAGGAAGAGCTTTATAATTTGCTTATTTAACATTCAAAAACTAAATAATTACCTAAAAATCTGTTTCATTCTGAATTGGATTTATGTGGTGAAATGCATACATGTTTAGCATTTTTTCATATTTTTCTTCTTATGATTATGCACTCCAAAATTCCCCTGAAAAATAGGACATCACATTTGAATTTTAGAACAGATATTTATTCTATCACATCTTTCCAAAAAAAAACCCAAACTTGGATTTAAGTTTACATTCTCGGAAAATGAAAGTATGAGTATGAATTTGACTTAGAATATTTTGTTATTCATATCTTTCTAATAATCTTACAGTAGTAAGTTTTACTTTATAGTGAGTTGGTACCAGAACAATTAAATGTATATTTCCTTCTTTGAGTCTTTTAAAGTTTTTAAAGTTTTAAAGTTTTAAAGTCTTTGAGTTTTAAACATCTTCATTTGTACCCTTTGGTTGAAGTCAGAGCATAAATATGTATTAGCAATACACATATTTACAAATATTCTATGTTCCTCATATTTTACTATGTTCACTTCTAGAGTCTAAAAGTATTATTTGTTTTAAAGGGGCACACGGTGTCTCAGTCAGTTAAGGGTCCGACTCTCAATTTCAGCGCAGGTCATGATCGTAGGGTCTTGAGATCGAGCCCCACATCATGCTCTGCACCTGGTGTGGAGTCTGCTTGAGATTCTTTCTCTCTGCTCCTCTCTCTCTTCTCTCTCTCTTCCTCTCCCCATCTCTAAATAAATACTAGAAAATTAAAACTATTATTTGTTTTTAAATGGAAAATATTCATTTTCAAAGCACAACTAGTTACAATTATTTGCCTGGTTTTGCTTATCAAATCAGACTCAAAGAATTGAGGTCTTTAACTAAGGTTGTAAAAAAATATTTTTTTGTCTTTTGCGGGATAGATAATTTATGTGTTCTTTCATTTTTCATACTGTGTATCTTTGTTAGTCAAAACACACATTTAAGTTGAATTCCACCTGAATTTATTATGATTAGAATTTTTCCATTTTTGGTTTTCTGCTAAATACTATAAGTAAGACTAGTGGTTTTATGGATTAAAACTGCTGCTGCATTATTATTCCTGTGATCACTGAATTCCTACTACATGGTTTAAAAAATACGTAACATTGTAAAAATGGAATATCATAAAAATACTGATTATAGGATTTAATTTTTAAAATCATTTTAGCAAAATGATTTATTTTGATATACTATTAATTTGTCTTAATTTGTCTTAACAGCTTCCTCTACTAAGACAACATATATCAGCTACAGCAATCATTCAATCTGAAACAGGGAAATGGTACAATGTGAAGAAATCTGGTATGTGATCTTAAACAATAAACATGACACCGCCAAAACTCACTCCTGGAGATCTCTGTAGACTACAATCAATCAAATCAATAGTCAATCTTGTAAGGAACACGAAGTAGCCATGAGCCAAAAGTATCAATGACAGAGTGAAAAAAAAAAAAAACCATTTTATACAGTACAACCAATGAGTGTCAAGCTAAAGTATTGCTTACTCATAAGCGGTTTAAAAAAAAAAATCACAAAAGGAAAACTAATGTTAGCTTGTGAAAAAAAAATGCTGTTGAAATAAACCATGTCTGATGTTATTCTTGTAAGTATTTTTCTGTGATTGTGAGAACTCCCATTCCTGTCCCACCTTGTTCAACTTGTATAAGACAATGAATCTGTTTCTTGTAATGGCTGACCGGACTGAAGCCCTGGGTTGTGCTAAAAATAAATGCAATGGTTGACGCATGCAATTTTTTATACAAATAATTTATTTCTAATAATAAAGGAATGTTTTGCAAATGTTGAGAGTTGTTTTGTTCCAGTTTTAAAGCCAAGGAATACTCATTCCAGTTGGCACTTTTGCTGTAAACTCCTGATGATTTCCCTAAGGATTGTGTCTTTGTACATTCATGTGTGTATGAAGAAGACTGTCTTTTATTCCTCTATGATAAAGCATTATTTGTGTAAGATTCTGTGAGTATTTCAAAATTTATGTGGTAACTTTTCATAGTAATTGCTTTTTTTATGAAGAATCAAGCAAGAGCTTGAGGTAAATTGCTTCAAGTATTCTAATTAACAAATGATGAGTTAAACGTTACTATGGAGAATGTAATATGAAAATCACCGTCAAAAGTATATGGAAGGGTCACTGAAATTCTCCATGTTCTAAGTCAAAACTTTCACACAGTGAAATATTTCAAGGTATGTGCTATTAACCTTTGCTTACCTGGGCCTGGTATCCATTGAAATCAGTGAAGTAATGGGCCTTACCCAGTACATTCCTCAAAGCACAGAATTAGCATATCTATTCCCTTGGCATCTCTAAAGAAACCACAGTTCAGATAACATGTCAATGCTTTCTTATTTTCCAAATGAAAACATTCAGTTGGTTCATAGCACAGTATCATTAAAGAGAGAAAAACAGGAAGCCTATGTCATGCTAATAAACCATGCTAGGATGGATAAAGGAGCCTGTTAAAGGCTTCCAAATCTGTTACCATTTTTGTCAGGGGCTCCTCAATGCTACACGATCCCAGACATCCATCAAGTCAATGGGTCTCTACAATCATTTTGTTAGTAAATGTTCTCTCTGCTGACTGAGCTTGGATGGCTCATTGCACTCCTTATAGATATAAAGAACTATCCATGCTCCGTAACTTCAACCCAGATATTGACACCTTATTTAATAGAGAGTTGAAGGAGCACAGCCCAGGCTCCTGCACCGTGGAGTAACATTTCCTAGATACTTCCAGAGACAGAAAGCTGCATACAGAAGGAAATGTGTACTTACTGGTCTTCTCTGGAGTTTCTCCTATTAGTACTGGACGATATTTAAATCAAGGAGTGAGGGCATTATTTTCAAAATTTCAAATAATCTGTGTTACTGATAAATACAATCCTGTAATCAGGATTCTCAACCCACCTCTAGGTGTGCCTTTCTAGATAAAACATAGCTTAAAATAAACTCATAGCTGCACATTTAGTATATTTTATTGTGCCATGTATCTGAGAATTGATAGCCATACCAAGAAAAGTAATTATAATTGTATATTACTAATTTTTAAGTTGACAGTTTTCTTTGTATTGGAGATTATTAATGGCTTTTACATACTTTTAATTTAATTTTAATTAGTAAGTATCCATATGTTTGGTTGAGAAAAATGCTTGAATTTTAAACAGCCTGGGTTTCATTTGAAGAGCAAAATTCAAGTATGTTTTCACTTACTAATTGACTCTAATCAGGGTAAGTGAATGCAACAGGGTGATTACGATAGCAGAGCCTACTCTTAGGCCAAGATGGGTTATTATTCTTTTTTAAAGGCTTTAGGAAGAAAAATAAATTAAACATAACTCATGACATTTCAAAATTGTTCTTCCTATTACAAACTTACCAATGGGTTATTTTTTCTCTAAGTACTTTTTATAAATAATTGATACTTGTTTGGTGTTCTACAACATCTTACATAGCTCATAATAGAACTGAATAATAGTTCTTGTAGATTTGCATATCCCAATCTCCCTTTCTAACGCTCTCTGGGGTGGGAGTATGCGGGGGGTCTTTCTTCTTGATGAAAATGATCACCTGCCCCAGACAGTGGGAAGATTAATTCCCACAACCTATTACAGTTGGAGCTGGAGAATTCTGACCTCCGCTGTGCTTTTCTTTCCTCAGGGATTTTGCTGAGGGCTCAGGAGGTAGTCATAGAGGCTGGGACAATGTAGGGAGGCATCCAGTAAGGAGAAGGATTTACCATGTGCTAGTAGTGGTTCACAAGTCCTATGCTTTAAAATGAACTGCCTGTGTACTATAGATAAGCAAATGCAAAGTTGCATGGGAAAAAAAATATAGTATTCTATTCTTTAGAATCGACCTTGTGTTTTATTCTGGCCAAGAAACATCACATCTAATCTCACCATGCCAGAAGGAATGCTAAAAATGTAGCCCAAGGTAATATTTAGCAAACGTCACTAGTAGACAGTGAACAATATATTAGTGTGACCTTGGGCCAAATCTGACCTCAATTTAAAAAAAAAATTAGCTTATACTAGTTAATATTTAAAAGTATCTAAATCAATGATGGCTGATCTGTCACAAACTAATTTTCTTCATCAGAACAACTACTCATAAATTTAAACCTGAAGGAGACCATTATGAACATGAATTGGAACTAAATGGCTAACTTAATTTTTGGAGTTTTAAAGAAATTTTTTACCAAAAATAATTGGCTTTTCACATGAACAGGGTTTTACTTTCTTGATTTAAATTAAACACCATATTATAGGAAATCTCACTGGGAAGAGAAGTTTGTATCATTTATATTTTCTTCCCTTTTTGACTCTAGATTCTCTATTATTTACTGATGACAATGGAAAAAGAATACCAGCAGTTTTCAAAATTATATTAACCAACACTGATATTTATTTAGTCAGCAAGTGGGAGAAACAGCATTCTCAAACTCTATCATGCAGACTTACCAATTTTTCTTATTTCATTTATTTAATTTCCTTTAATGTCAGTATTTTCATCCGTCTTCTGGAATAAAATTGCTAAAAACAACAATAAAGTCGCATGAAAGGATAGCAAGAAATAACACCAAATTGTAGAATATGCTACTCACATATAATCATCTTTACAAACGTTTCTTTTGTTTTTATGATGGTTTCCCTTAATGAAGATGTGAATAATGAAGAAAAACTTGACCATAACTAGAAGAAAAAATTTCCTTAGGAAGAAATTGTGTCTGCGAATGCTCAGAATTGGCTGTCGTCGTTGGGAAGTGTCACATTGAAGACACAGTAGCAAATGCAGAGCAATAATTGTTTTAAAAATGTAATTTCTGTGACTATTCTATTTAAGTTTTTTCCTCTTTAAAACTTTTTGCAGCATAACCTTTAATGATGGCGTTACCTTTTGTTGCCATTATTTCTCATTTAATTTAATGCTCCAATAGGACATTCAGAATATTTTTCTCTCTTTTGAAGTTAGTATAGTCTTGTATCAGATTTTGATTTACACATCTGCTTCCAGAGTGATAAGGACAGAGAAAAAAACTGATCTATAGAATATTTTTTCTACTTGCCTACTGTTTAAGTAGCTTAGGCAGAGCTAACTTTGAAAAATAACTTGTTACAGAGTTATCATGGCCAAGTATGGACTGGGACCTAAAAAAAACCAGGATTTGACTATGTTATGACATGGATGGGAGACAAGGTGATGTGGTTATAAAAACACAACAGGGAAGACAAATGATAGATGTAATATTTCAGTTTTTGAAGTAAGCGTAAAATTATTTACCAATTACTTAGGTCCCTTTAGGTAAGTTCACTACAACACAGATTGGTATTTGAGAGCTAATGAAGTCTTGGAGTATTAAAGTATAATTTCAAAAGTTAAAAATATAACTGTCATACAGAGGTAGAACAAAAAAGGATTTATTTGCTCATTAGTTAATGAGGGAACCAGTAAGATGTTAAAATTAGTCCAAAGAGCATTTGAGAAGTCAGTTATACACACACACACACACACACACACACACACACACACACACAGATAAGTTAGAAGGCTAGATATAAAACCAGTTTAGTGTCTTATAGTACAATAAACATTTAGGTTTTCTGTTTCACTGGATAGATGCTATTTGAATCTACACAATAAAAATCAACAAATGGACACCTGCACCTCAGAGCTATGAAGTAAGCACACTGAGAGAAATTCAGTGCCGCACTGAAAGTATTAGCATCCTTTGCCCATTTCTAAGTTTTAAGATTATTTCTCTGATGAGTGATATTTCACTTTTTACTTCCCCTAGTTCCAAGCATTACATTACCAGTATTTGAATTATAAAGATCATACACACATACCTAAAATCGTATTAAGATAATACAAATTAATAGTAATGAAAGGGCTCTAGAATGAGGCTGTGTTTTAATTATTCTTTCCTATCATTACTCTTAACTCTGGAGACACAGTAATTCAGAGGCTAGACTGAATAAAGGGATATGGAGGATAAATGTGAATAAATGTGTGGTGCCTTCAGCTAACAGTTCCCTATCTGATGGTTCCACAAATAAATTGTGACTGTGACTTCTTCCTTTTGCCCCCTAGGCACTGTCATCTCTAGCCTGTATTTTTTCTCCCTTTCTGTAGTATATTACCCTAAAAGACGAAATGTGCTTTGCAAGAGTACTTCTGAAGATGACAAATCAAGGATAATTGACCATATCTCCATGCCTACCTCCTAACTGTCACTAGCTAATAAACCTGGCCAA